CCCCAGGACTGCTGAGCCACCGGAATGGAGCGGGCTGTGAGTCAGTCAGCAGGAAGGGACACTTACAGCCACTTGCATCAGATGTTCCTGCCGTGTGGACCCTCATGACCCTCACTTCTCTGGGGAGCTCCTGGGGCTTGGGGTTCCTGTCCATGGAGGGCCAGACGTGTGGGAACATGCGGGGAGGGTACAGGCCTGGTGGGGCGCCAGCCTGGGACCCCCAGCCCCACTTGTGCTCCGTACCCCCAGCCACCTCGCTCCAAGTGCCAATCCTGATCCCAACAGCCCGACCCTGCTCAGAAGCGGCGCTGGGACCCGGTCCTCCCACACCAGCTCGGGGCTTTAAGGCAGCCCTGTGCCCCCCTCTGAGTCAGGGGCCCGGCTTCGGGCAAAAGAGGGAGAGGCCCAGCCCTTTCCCCAAAGGCACTGCAGACATCCCCTCACCGTCCATATGGCCCCCAGCCCCACGCACGGGCCCCCACTGTTCTCTCCCGGTGTGCACACACCTCCACTCCGCTCCCACGCGTGCACAGGCTCTGCCCCACACAGACCGAGCTCAGTGCTTCTCTAAACGTGCACAGACACACGTGCACACCCAAATCTGCTCACACTCGCACACACGCCAAACAGGTGCCTTGTTTTTGTTTTAAAGATTATTTATTTATTTATTTATCTGACAGAGACAGACACAGCGAGAGAGGGAACACAAGCAGGGGGAGCGGGAGAGGGAGAAGCAGGCTTCCCGCAGAGCAGGGAGCCCGATGCGGGGCTCGATCCCAGGACCCCGGGACCATGACCTGAGCCGAAGGCAGACGCCTAACGACTGAGCCACCCAGGCGCCCCTCAGTGCCTTGTTTTAAATGTTGGGGGAGAAAGGTCTTTACCATCACTCCCTGCTAAGGTTGTCAGGTAAAATACAGGACACCCAGTTACATTTGAATTTCAGATAAACAATGAGTAACTGTTTGGGATGTACTTATGCATTCACTGAAAGGTATTCCTTGTTTACCTGAGATTCAAATGTAATTTGGTGTTCTGTATTTTATTGGCTAAATCTGGGAGTATCTGCTGGGTTGTGGAGGCAGACCCTGAGCTTCCTGGGTTCCCCCAAACACTGCCCAGGAGGGGAACGCTGCACACCCAAGCCCCCCAGGTCCCAGGGCTCTGGCCACTTAGCCAGGCCAAGGAGGGGGTGGTCAGAGGGGGCACCACCCATGACAGCCAGCTTGTCTCCTGGCTCAAAGGAGGCAGGGGGGAGCAGGGGCCCTAAGGGGGAAGTCAGGACCTGCCTCATGTCTCCTCTGGGGTTCTGGGGAGTCCTGGGCCCTACCTGTCCTGCCGACCAGCTCTCTCTGTCCTTTGCCTCGGCTGGAACTGCACATTCCCCCCACCCGCCCTGCCCACCAGTGACGGTCACAGGAGCTGGGCAGGCGTGAGGAGAAGGGGCCAGGCCCTAGTCTTCCTGCCTCACCTGGCTGGTAGACTACCTTCCAAGCCCCAGGGCAGGTCAGAGGCAGGTGAGACCCCTGGGGGTCCATGGACAGGTGGGCAGGGTGGCTGGCAGATACCTCTCAGTCCCCTCTCCCTCCCTGGGCACCCAGCACCTCTGGGAGCTTGGCCTATAAACAGGGCCTTCCTGGAGGAAGAAGACTGGCTGTCTGGGTCTGCAGCTGGGGCTCAGGCCTGCGAGCCTGCAGGCTGGGCACAGAGGTCCCTCCACTTGCCCATTCCCACTGGCAGCCCCCATCGCCCCCAGCGCAGGCCACACCGGGGTGGGCCTGGTTGCCTCCCCCGGGCCATCATAACTCAGGCACCCATCCTGGGGCCAGCCCCAGGGCTCAGACCTGGGGGCTCAGGCACCTCTGGGGGCGTCTCTGACCTGACGTACTCAGGGGATGTGTGTGGACGAAGTGAGCACCCCTCTATGTAGCCACGGACACACACGCGCGCAAGCTCCTCGGGCTGTGCACAGAAGCCCGTCCCTGTGTGCACTCACACGCGGCCCCCACCTGTGGGGAAGGACCCTGTGCGCACCATGCCCCCCCAGCTCTCATAGAAGGCTGAGCTCCCCCATGGTCCCCAGCTTCTCACACACAGGGCAGGGGATTACAGGACTTGGCTCACTGGGTGGGCAGAAGCAGTGGGTGTCATCCTGGGGGGAGCCTGCCTCCCACCCCGGGAACACTGGGTGAGGTTGTCATGACTGGGGGTGCTACTGCATCGAGTAGGTGGGGGCCCTGGATGCTGCTCAGTGCCCCGCGGTGCCCAGGGTGACCCCCACAGAGAGCGACCTGCCCGTGTCACTAGTGCCGGGGGGGGGCTGCTGGAAAGACCCCAGATGGGGGGCCGCCTCCCTGTTTTCCCACCTACAACACGGTGCCCAAAGAGGAACCAGCTGTTGGGGCTGTGTGAAGGTGAGGCAGCTGTCTGACCCGTGCCCAGACCTGGGAACAAATCCGTCCCCCCGCCCCCCACCGGCCGGGCTCCAGGATCAGCCCCCGGGACCTGAGCTTGGCTGCACTTGGGGAGATGGCCCGGGGCTGGCCTTCGTTCTGTTCCCTGAGGTCAGTGTGAATGTCAGCCCCCACAGGTCCACACACGAGAGTGAACACGGCTAAACACCCACCCTGGGGTGTAGACCTGCTTTGCTGCTGTGGGTTGAATTGCGTTCCCTTGGAACCCGTGAATGTGGCATCTGGAAATAGGGCCTCGTTAGGTGGAATTCATTAAGATGAGGTTGTACGGGAGGGGTGATGCCAGAGACGCAGAGCAGACAGCCACCTGAAGGCGGGGGCGGGGGCCGGGGGGAGGCGTCTGCGGGCCTAGGGACTCCAGGACTGCCAGCCAGCTCCGGAAGCTGGGAGAAGCGGGAGGGATCCTCCGCAGGAGCCTTCAGAGAGGGTGTGGCCTGCCTAGACCTTGATTTCAGACTCCAGGTCTCCAGAATCTGAGAGCATAAATTTCTGTTGTTTGAAGCCTCCCAGCGTGCGAGAAGCTAACACACTTACACAACCCCTGTAGGCACACACCCCCCCTTGCACACACGTGTGCACACACGCTCAAACACATCCTTCTTCTCAGCAGTATTCAGGGGACACGTCCTGCGTGCCAGGCCCTGTGCTGGGTGGGCTCTGGGCGGGCAGTGGACAGATCTGTGCTGTCATGGAGCTGAGCTTCCAAGGAGGGGCAGTGACCCATCTGTACCCACCCGAGCCCGGCAGGTGACAGGGAGGGCCCTGGCCTGGAGGCAGAGGTGGGCGGGGACAGCCGGGAGAGGAGGGAGGGAGGACGAGGAGACTTCTCCTGGGCAGGCAGGTCTAACAGCCCCACCCCAGGCACCTGGAGCCAACGTGTATGTCTACACACACACACACACACACACACACACACACACACGCAGGGGATGGAGGAGGATGTGGGGAGTGCTGCCTGAAGTCAGGTGTGGCCTTGGCAGGCAGCACATAGAGGCTGCCCCACTAGAAGGGGACAATTCAGCTTCAGGTCAGCGGGGCCTGGTTGGGGGACAACTAGGTTTGGGTGGCAGGAAGTCTCTAGTAGGACAAGCTGAGGCCTGGAGGAGAGGGAGGTCGGTCCACCCCACAGACTTGTACTTCCATGTGCCCAGGGTACGGAGTCAGGACTCTGCACCACAGTGCTTTGGGGACAGGGAGCTGGTCCAGCTCAGGAAGGGCCGATTTTACCCAAACCTGGGTCAGGGTGGGGGTGGGGCGGGCAACAAAAACAGGATGGTATTTTCCCCCTTGTCCTGGCTGCCCCCACCCTTTGGGCTCTTTCTTGGTCCCGGGTCCCTGCTCTCCTTGAAACATTCCTTTGCAGGACTGAGGGAAGGTCCTTCATAGATTTCAGTCCCCATCCCATACAGTGGTCCCCTTGCTCGGACAACTACAGGGCAAACTCTTGGGGAACTCCCTGGAGGAGGCAGCTGGGTCTCAAAGCCTGTTGGGGTACACCAGCAGGACAGCCGGAGCCAGGATCTGGGAGGTGCACCAGGGGCCTTGGCAGGTTGTAGGATCAATCAAGATAGAGCCACAGCAAGTTCTGGGATTGGGGCGCTGCCAAGAGGAAGCCATGTATGTTCTAGGGAAGGGAAGTCGTCCAAAGGAGTCAGTGTATTCCAGGCCCTGGCCGGCATCCTGGGGGGATTGCCAGAGCGCAGGGTCCGGCTCCAGCTCGGTTCCAGGGACCCGCGGCTCTCCCAGAGCCTCAGGCAGCCCCTCCAGCACCCGCACCCCTCCAGCAACCGTCAGCAACCCCCCCAGGTCCTTCTCCTGGAGCCCCGCGCAGCTCACCGCGCAGGCGCGTGGACACCCCTCACGGCCCGAGTGCGCAGCCGCACTTGGCCCGGAGGGCCCTCCAGCCTCGCTCCCG